TCCAATTTTTGTGAATTGCCTTAAAAGTACTGCTGACAGTGTGAAAACAGCAACTTCAGATCAATAGAAAATTGTCTTCTACATTCATTGGGAAGAACAAGGCACTCGGAAGAGTCTGCTTCCAGGATGAGTTAAACCAGCCGAGATGGAAACAAATGCATAAGAGAAACAGAAGAGCTGTTGATTGTCTGAAGATCAATTGATAGCTTTTTTTCATCTTGTTATGTTTTACTCATTCCAAAGGTGCAGAGAAAATGTTCTTTAATTACCAAACATATATTCAGGAAGAAGAGAGTAGAACATTTAAGAACATATTATCATTTTCCACACACACTCTGTGCCAGGTGCCTACAGCTTCCAAATGGGCAAAAAAAAAAACGAACCCTAGGATTCTATGAAGTGTCTTCTGAGAGCTGATAATGTGAACAGCAATGAGTGATGAGAAAAACCATCTCCATTTACATCACCTTGAAGTTCAGCATACAACAGACTGCAATAAAGGCCCAGCAATCAACTGTGATAGAAGAATCGCCATTACACTAAGCAAGTAAATGGCTTCAAGGCAGCAGATAAGAGTGCTGGGAGGTCATAGTAGGTGCAGAGAAATCCTGGATGTAGAGAATAGAATCTTGGATTGCATTTGGATGATTTCTAACAACCATAGCTAATTACAATCGACAACACTAACTGTTCCCCATTTCAAGGCTTCAGAGAAACACTGATCCTTGATGACCAGTTTACTGACTAGAGATGGTTTATAAAATAATGTCTGCCAGGTGGTGAATCTGCTAGATCAATTGTAATTGAAAGCGTAAAACATATTGTAGAATAAAACTATTACACATTAAAATGTGTAGTACTATTATCACTATATGATCATTAATTTTATTTGACTATTTATGTCCAAGCATAATAACCTATTAACAAATATAAGTCTGGCCCACTGAACCTGGAAAAAATTCCTGTATAGCATATAATACTGTTTGTTCATAAATATGGGTAGAGCCTTTTTATCTGGTTTCTAAATTGTTTAACTTGGCTCTTATAGTGTATACAATAAAAATGAATATTTTGTGATAACAGCAGCTCACAGAATTGACTAGATAACTTCCATGATTTCCAGTCAAATACATGTTCAAATCATATATGGTTTGTATGAAATCAGTACTCTGTAGTGTTAGTTGTCTGTGTGTGTGCATGCGTGTGTGCACACGTGTGCAATTGCACATGCGTGCCAGTCCTGGGGCTTGAACTCAGTACTTAGGCACTGTCCCTGAGGGTTTTTTTCCCTTTTGCTAACAGCTAGCACTCTACCACTTGAGCCATAGCTCCAATTTTGGCTTTGGGAGTTAATTAGGATTACAGACACAGGCCACTGGTGCCATGCCACACATCTTTTTTAAAAATCGTTTCTACAACTAAATATACCCAGCTCAGCTTGGGGATAATGTTGTGGAAATACCCCTTTGCTGAGGCTCAAACACTTTTTTAAACTGAAGTGGAAAATGAGGATAGAGGTTAACCTCTAATTATAACAGAAAGCAGTAACCCAGCCTCAGTCTTTGCCTCTAAGCCTGGTGGACCAGGACACTTACAAGCTGAACAAGAAGTTATAAAGAAAAAGAGGACACCATCATAAAATATTTACAGGCACATATCCCATCAGATAGTGGGGTTAAAAAATCCATCACCGCATCTGAAAAGCAACTCACATTTGTAGCATCGAATACTAAGACAAACAGAATGCAGTTCAAATGATTAGCATCACTTCCTCATTGAAGAGTTCCCTTAACTGTGGGGCTCAGCTTAATTTGCAGCCCCTGGATACATATCCTTTTTCTTTATTTTTTCCGAACTTTAGACCTTGATCAAAGGCCAAAGGGAAGAAAGGATTTAAGTCTGAAACTCTTGTGGTGATGTAAATAACACAGTATTAAAAAAACTCATTTTAATGAAAAAGAAATCAAACATTCCACTCATGTAACTGTAACCCCTCTGTACAGCATTTTTACAATTAAAAACGTACAAAAAATGGATTTTCAGCATCCAAGTTGTCCTAGTAATTAACACAGATAATCACAAATGGTCACCCTTGCCGGTTGCCTCCAAACCATGGAACCCAGCATCCAACTCAGCTGAACCTGCATAAACCCAAGCTCCAAATTATTCCTCCTGAAACCATTTGCTGACATTCTACATCCCACAAACTTCTAAGTGACTCCAATTCTATGTTCACTATTTATTTCCCTTTCCACTACCGTACTTCCTCCCTGAAGTTAAGACCTAGGAGCAATATTTAAAAGCTCTTCTGTCTGTAATGCCATTACATATACCAAGAAACACTTTACCCAATCCAGCTTAGACTTTCCTATCTTATCATTCTTTGTCATTAATGCTATATGCACTCATGAATTCGCTGTGCAATGATTAGTTCAAGAACTCAGACACTAGAGTAACTATTGCTTTATTTGTGCCTTTACATATGGACTTTCTTTTTTTTGCGGGGGGGAGGGGGTCCAGCCGTGGGACCTGAACTCTGGGCCTGGGCGCTGTTCCTCAGCTCTTCAGCTCAAGCCACAGCACACTTCCAGCTTTTTGTCTTTTTGCTTATGTGGTGCTGAGGAATCAAACACAGGGCCTCATACATGCAAGGCAAGCACTCTACCACTGAGCCACCTTCCTAGCCCCTTCATATGGTCTTTCTATTCCTAATTTTGTGTATTATGAAACTCAGATACTAGTTAACCTCTCAAACTTAAAGAGTCATAGTGGAAGCAGTCCAACTAATTAGAATTGATCCTTGGGCCACTATTATATACTTTAATGTCCTTTATGAGGAGACCTTTGTATAACTTTTTAATCAGAGATGATTTTCCTCTAAGAGGAGTGGCCTCTGACTGTGAGATAAAAATTGCCTATCTCCTGTATTTTTCTTTTAAAGCTGCCAGGAATCTCAGAGCTAAATTAAGTATTCATTCTCAGAAAACATATAGAGCTGTGACTAAAATTATTGGTCAAATTCTCTTATGGTGGACTTTATTTTCTGTTTTGATTTGGTCTACCTGATTATTAGTTTACCTTTTATTATAAGCTATATTGTATTCTTTTAAAAAATTGGTTACTAATGTAATTTTTAAAAAAACTATCCACAGTCCATGAATTAAGTAATTCCACTTGCTAGGTATTAGAACATACAAATGAACTAATTAATCCAGAATTAATGGATCAACATAAAAGTTTTTAAATTTAATATAATCGTTTGGATTATATAAATCATTTATATGACCATTTGAATCTCTACCATGTCCAAGGGTGATGAATTATATGCATATTCTGTATTACTGAGAATTTTACAAAGACTAAATTAACAGGTTGTTTAAATAAGAATTACTAAAATGTATGTTTAAAACTGAGGTTTAACTGTGAAAGGCCATGGGACTTTCTCAGATTATCATGTAATTATCTGCTATCTATGCTCTCTCCTATCTTTTGCTGATTTACATTAGTTACCCTGCTATCACTGCACTTGAACTTCAGAGTTCCAATAAAGCTTTACATAAGAAAACTGATAATACTAGGAAAAAATTCTCAAAAAGCAGTATGCACAACCTACCACTATTTACTGTACATATAATAATTTTCTCTTTCAGCCTAAGATGTAAGTTTTGGCTTTTCTATAACATAAATCTGTATGAAATACTCATTTGATTTACAGCAGATGACCCAGCATCATATAAAAATAATCAACTGTGTCACGTTTCTCAAATCATGGAAGTCAATAGCTTGAATATAAAGACATCTCAATTACATAGTACAAAGAGTGAGATCTGCCTCCTCCTTTCCTGTATCAACAAAATGACAAGGATTATAAAACAGTGCTTCTTTCAAAGTTCAACTGGAGGAGGATGAATAAATTGAGAGCTCCCATCAATTGAAGTTGAAGAGATTTCATTTCTTCTGTAATTAAATATTAAAGATTTCAGAATCCTTTATTAAAAAAATCTAGTTATGTCTTTTTTTGTGCTGCTCCTAGGGCTTGAACTCAGGACTTGGGCATAATCTCTGAACTTTTGTGCTGAAGTCTAAAGCTCTACCACTTGAGCCATAGCTCCATGACTTTTTTTTGTCAGTTGTAGGGCCTGAACTCTAGGCCTGGGTGCTGTCCTCAGCTCTTCAGCTCAAAGCTAGCACTCTACCACTTGAGCCACAGAACCACTTCTGCTTATGTGGTGCTGAGGAATCGAACCCAAGGCCTCATGAATGTAAGGCATGCCCTCTACCACTGAGTCACTTTCCCAGCCCCATGACTGACTTTTTAAGTCATTAATTGGAGAAAAGATTCTCACAAACTTTCCTGCGCTGGTTGGCTTCAAACCACGGTCCTCAGATCTCAGACTCCTGAGTAGCAAGGATTACAGATAGGAGCCACCATCTAGCTGCCATATCTTTTTTAAAGAATGGAACTCAATGATTCATTTTTTAAAATACAAAACAGTCTTTTATTCTTAGATGTGAATATGCATTGCTTGTGATATGAAAATATACCTGAAATTGCAGAAATGGAGCTTGATGCTAAAAAGAGGCTTGACTAAACGTTCCAAGTCCTTTTCATAACCATTAATTCATTTAAAAAAACATATTGGTAAGAATTTACCAAATAATTACATTTGCATTCTCTATAGTAAAAGAGGGTTGCGATGACCAGGGGCTATTTTTCCTCCCTGAGATGGCTATGTCACACAGCAAAGACACACAGGCCACAAAGTCCCTACAGACTCAAAGACATACCTCTGAGGTAGAGAAAAGACCATCAGCTTCAATAAAGCCCAGCCTGCTCTGGTGCAAACGTCAAGTTTCAGACAATCTGCCTCCATGGCTTAAACTACTGAGACTCAGCTTACCAAATGCAGCAAAAGCTAGAACACAGAATTGCAGCCTAAGGAGTTACTGGTGCACGGACACCCTGTGCATGCACCAGTGCAAATAGTGAAGATCAGTACCTGGAGAATTGCCTCTGCAGACCCAGCATCTGGATTCGGTTGCGCTCAGACTCTAAGGTCACCTCCCGCAACCGCTTCTCACTTTGAAGACGCAAGTGCCTCTCCTCTTCCAGTTCATGTATCAGCTTTTCATGCTGTGAAAAGAACAAAGGGAATGACTTTTAACAAGGTTTTTATGCAAAAAATAATTAGTAACAAAGCATAGTAATTCAGTTAATAATTAGAGCACTATTACCCATTCAAAATTATTTTATCACTTCAATCTCTGGCATATACTTTAAAGAGAACATCACTATTTCTACAGAAAAACCAAGAATTTCAAGTTAATTAGACCATCGGGCTGATGAGAATAAGGTTAAAAAATGAGCTTTAATTTTGTCCAGTCAGGTTCTCAGAGATAAAAATAGGCCAGACCGCCCACTATTTTTATAATCTTAGAAAACTAGCTCATTGCATGAATGGGCAGCTGGGATTGAAAGGGACTGAATGATCCAGAAAAGATGGCTCCACACACATCTCAGATCTCCTGATAGTACCAGGTCAGCTACGCTAATGTTGTCTTTGTTCTGTTTGTGTTTTGTTTTTGTTATTGCCTTTCATGAAAGCATTACATGCTGTTATGGTTATTACTGTAACTAACTGAAACACTTTGCATACAGAATGCATAATTTTATGATGAAAATCAAAGCTACAATGTCTGATTGTGAGGAGCCTACATTCCTATCATGAAAGAAGAGAATCAGACCCTTCTGTGTTGAAATAATTCAAATGCTCTGATTATCTCAATGGCTTACTCAATATATACAGCATAATCACAGCCGTATCACAGGTACAGTCACCGGTATAGTTTTCAGTCTCTAACTTCTGTGTAAACAGTTATTCTGAAGATCATGAACAAAAAATAAAGACTACAATGACCCTCTAAAAATACTTACATATCAAACTGCACTTTGGGTAAGTCCTAGTTCCTGATTACAAACCTCTCTGAAGTGAAAGCAAAGGGCTCTTCCAATCACAGCCATCACCAATGCCCTTGAGAAGACTTCCCTTATCATTCCATCATTTTCTCCCTTCCCTTAGTTCCCACTTATTTACTTGTCCTTGAGCTGCTCACTTATTCTGGTCTTGTTTTTCTTGCACATTTATCAAAATCTTTAACTGGATAAACAGTCAAGATTACAACTATATCTTATGTACAAAAATTTTTATCATATTACCTAGTACACAGTGGTTCTAGAAATGTACATGCTTATTGAATCTGGATCTGGTCGTTTGTGAAGATGTAACTTAGCCAAATGCTATGAAAGATGGGAAATTTTGAGAAAACAGAATTTTTCTTTATTTCAAAAGTAAAAGGGGACGCTATATAAATTCATTCATTGTCATAGTAAAGAATCTCTAATACCTAATAAGGGAGAACCTTCCCTTGCTATCTAAATAATCCTTTCTGTTCAACTTGTTGATTCAAATACAGAAACCTACATACACAAACACATACAAAGAATATACACAAGTACACACACATATACACCTTATACATATATGCTACACTGTAAAGAAAGTTCTAGATTAAGACAACAAAACCAAAGCTGTTTGCAATATATTCCTTTCACATATCAGGTGTTTAGTTAACCCATATACTTTCCCCATAACCTATATCAATTTTCCAAATAGAGAAGAAACGAGCTTTTTTTTTTAATACAAATTAAGGTATTTCATAAGACTAACAGTAGAAAATGTCAGCGGATTGGCTTGGTGTTTTATCCTGGGCATGTTAGTTTATCACTAAAGTGATTATAAATTCCCTCCTCCCCCAGACTTGCTTTGGAACTATTACAACAGTGAGCAGGCACTGCCTAGCACTTCCACGAGCACTACTGTGTCTGCTCCTTGGATAACTTGGCTCCATCCATGACCACCTCCTCCACTGAACGATAAAGAGAGGTCAGACATTTTCCCAGGCTTTCCTGTTCAAAGAGCTAGATCATAGGACGTTTTTCAGAACTTAATTCCTTTTCATTTCCTCCTTACTCTGGTCATTTGGGCTGCAGTCCTTACCTTACGAGTATAAATTTGTCCCGATGCAACTGATCAATTAGGGAAAACATTGAGCATGACACACAGTTCACCTTTGCTTATGCTTGATTTCATTCATACGAAAAATTTGGTGAACACAAACACAAAGCATGTTTTGTTTTCTCAAGGCTAACTTTCTGCTATATGAGCCACAGCTCCACGTTCAACATTTTTAGAATAAGAGCCTCAAGGGCTTTCCTGCCCTGGCTGGCTTCAAACCTTGGACCTCAGATTGCAGTCTCCTAAGTAGCTAGAATTATAGGTGTGCTAAAACACACTTTTTGAAGAGACCTCAGTCTGCTGTGAATTTTAAGAGTCACAGTCCCTGAAATTTCAGGCAGCCTGCCTTCCACCCTTTGAAGTATATCACAAGGAGTTGACACCAACTCCCACCAGAGAACTGCAGGTCTTTTTTTCAAGGTAAAATGTGAAATTTATAGCTGTATCTATCTATTTATTTATTTCCTAACCATTTAACACATGTGGAACTAACTTATCCACTATTTTTATTGTTTCTTATTTTTAAGTTGTCATTTGCCAATGCTTTTAGTATTCCATTTCTACTCTCCACCTCCCATTGAGCCCATCCATGCTCCCTATGTATGTTTTGGCAGAATGCAATGCTTTTTAGAAACACATGTCATGTCATGCTAGGGAAGGGCAGACTGCACATCATGCAGTAGAAAAAGACATCAGCATCAAGAACAGAATTCCAAAGCACTTTCCCTGTGCAAGGACAAAAGTTGAGTCATAGACAAAAAAAGTAAGGAAAAAAAAAGTTGTTCTGTTCTACAAATAGAGCTTGTTCATACATCATAGCTGTCCACAGCAACAATTTTCACTGAGCTATACTGATTAAACCTTGAAAGAAGTATATTTCAGTTTCTTTGTAATCATTTTTAAATTCTTGTACTGATAAAGTTCTAACAGTTGTCTCAGTTATTCAAGTATTAAAAGGTTATTTATGTATACATGTTACCAGAAAGGAAAAAAAGTTGAATCCCATTGATTGTTGATTTGATTATTCCATAATTTAAGATTGATGCTGGGAAATAGCTATGTAACCACCAACATGGAGGCATTCACTTACTTAGACTACAAATAATCATTGAGCAACGACTACCTACCCAACACTGGACTCACTCTGAGGTAAACAATGAGCCAACTGTCCTGGTTATTGTCGTATCATGCTTACAGACTGAAGACAATTGCTAAAGGACTTGCTAGACTCATCCAAACAAGTGATAGCTAATTAGGGTCTCCTGAAAGATGGCAAGATGACAACAAGAGGAACAGATTTTATATGGTAGGCAAGATTCTCTGAGGAAGTAAATTCACATGGAGATCTCTCTGACAACTGAGTTTTGCTGGGGACCAGGACACCAGGCAAAGTGAACAGCAAGTAAAAATTTCCTTTGTTTACAGGAAAATAAAATTAAACAAAGAAAAGAAAAAAAAGTCCTCTGTCATATGTTGCAAGCACAAAGAGAAGGTCACTGTGTCTACAGCCTGGTGAGCAAAGAGACAGGTATCGAAGAGGATACAGCTTCAAGGAACAGAGGCTACACCCTGGAGGGTTATGAACATAGAAAATCAACATGTGCTTCTTTGCTAGGTCTAATTATAGTTGGTGACTCTCAGTACATCAGTTGGTGCTAATATTCATGAAGTTTAACAACATTCAAGAACTTGAAAAGGAAGGGATTATAACCTCAATAAAATAGCAACTTTATTTTAAGGTTTAATCTTTTATGCAATAGAATCTTAGGAAAATTAAGTAATGATTATTCTGATGACTAAACGGATAAAGAACTGAATTACCTTGAAAATTAAACACAGAACTACTCTATTAGTGAGCAAATCCACTCCTGGGTATTTATCTAAAAGATTAAAAACCAGGAAGTAGTAAAGCCAACCAGCACAACCATGTTCATTGCAACACTGTACCCAATAGCCAAGCTATGGAATCACAAGGGCCCAGATGCTCCTCAACAGACAAATGTATGAAGAAAATGCAGTATATAAACGTAGTGGAATTTTACTCCTCCATTAGCAAGAATAGTTTACCTTTTATAAAGGAAAAGGAAGAGCTGTAAGTAATTACATTACATGAAGTAAGTTAGGCCAGAGAGACAAAGATGTATGTTTTGTCTCATAAGTGGAAGCTGGATTTAGCCTATAAACTTATAAATACATTGGGTGGTATGCAAGTATATGTAAATATATTAGTCCCATCATGCATACCCTTGTGTTAAGTGAAATATCTGCCATAATAGGAGAGGTCCATCCACATCCCCTGAGTGCAGTCTCCAGACCTGATTAGTTATAGTACAAATAGACAACATTATGCCTGGGTGTGCTCTCCACTGACCTGATGCTTCAGAGATCCACAAGGACATATACAACAGTATTCCCTAAATGTTTCTTTTCAAAAATTTTCTACAACGGGCTCAAACTATATTAAATCATTGTTATAAAATTCCTGATGAATAATATTTTATGATAAAAGAATTATTGGAGAAACATTAATATTTCTGGATAATACAAAGATCTGAAGTAGGGGAAATGAATAAAGGCTATTAGAAAAGGTCTCTAATATGGTTAAATGATAGTTTGGGATATTGAATGGATAAATAGATGAGCTCATCCAAGTAATGTGGAGTCTGGCAGATGAGCTAACTATTATGTAATGGAGATTTACATAAAAACTCAACAGCCTACCAGAAAAGAGGAAGACATGTGATTCAATGATACAAATACAAAACATGGCATTAAGACCAAATAACAAATTTAGAAGTTCCAGTCTGCCTTGACTTGATTAATCAGTATCAAAAAAAATCATGGGCATCACTAATCAACCCCTAGTATATTCTAAAAATTATGAACACCCACAATAACCCTTTAATTATCTTGCCATCTAAGAATCTAAAACCAACAATTGATTTTTTTTCCTTGAGAAATCTTGAGCCAACACACCAGCAGAAAATTTAAACTAATATTTTCATGAAAACTAGCTTTTAATTTAAAAACTCTACATTAACCAATTTCTATCAAACCA